AAAGTGTTAGGTAGCATGGGGAGGATGGGAGGAAATGGGGATGGAATTAGGGAGGTCATATTTTTCAGGAAATGATCACAACGCGATGGCGGGCCTTGCTTCCCGGGCGAATGCGCTATTGGCTACGACTACCCATATCTCCGTCTTCGATGCCTACCCCTTTCTCCGAGTTTAGCAAAACGATGATGCTCGCTGACCACGAAAATGAGCCTGATTTTCGGGGCAATCACCGAGGGGAAATTTCTGATGTGACGACAAGCGAATAGCGCACTCACCCGAGAAGCGTTAAGGGAGGCTTCGATTCGCTCCCGGACTCGTGACTTGCCCACAACTTGCCATGATAACTTTTACAGTCCGAACTACGGCGTTACAGATAACGTGGGTAGTTATTTGAGCCCCATCTCTTTGCGGTCGATTCTTCAGAATCGCGAATTCTCCATGTTAATGCCTGAACTATCCTTTGTCGCCAATTCTTTAGAATCGTGGATTCGCCAGGTTGATGAACAGTTGTAACAGAAAACTTGGACATATTCGCAACGGTTGAACTTGTTTATTCTCCTTCAAACCAATGGTACTTGAAGCATTTACTAAAACTTAATGTGATTATATCAAAACATATTAATAGTTCGGTAGAGCAATGGCAGTTCCCTGTTTTCTTGAAAAAGTCCGTCAAAAAAAATAAAAGCGCTTTTTGCATTATAGTTGAATATGACTTGATTTCACATTTTATTTTTATGATTATGATTTTTAAAAGTTTTCGACAAAATTCTCTAACAAAATTTTTTAAATGAGATTCCAGGGAGGGGATGATTCAAAGAGGTCGTTTAGTTCTCGTTTCGCACCTGCCTTTAGACGTGGAGTTAAACAATTCTCTTATTTCTTCCCTCTATGCTCATCAGAAGGGAAAGGAGGAGTAATGTGTCTTAGAGTGATATTTTCATTTTTTATGATCTTTGGAGTTAGTTATTATTGCTAAACGTGAAAACCTTAATGAATATATGTAAATACGACTGAGGCACATTTGTGAATACTTCCAAATTTTTTTCGCTACTCTATATGCTTTCTCTTGCCAACCGCCGCGAACCGCGAACTCTTCGTATTCGCGAACTATGAACGCAGCCTAAAGCCATATATCAGCGAATTGAAGGGTGGCATGAGCTGAAACGTCTATGTCTCCACCAGTGACGAGTCGAAATCATATAAAAGAATCAGATCGATCCACGCTGAATAATCTTGCAGTGCAGGATCTTCGCGCAAGAATATTACAGGTGGGAAGAACTTGTTCATATTTTGAAGCACCCCAGAAACAACTATTAATAATGATGATATGGTAAATACAGAACAAATGCTGCCGAAAATGCAGTCCCGAGGATCTGACACGACTCAGAACACAGGACTGGTGGCTCATCTCTTTTCTACGAGCCTACAACTATGACCTGGACGTAACTTATGCGGTTTTAGCGGAATGCATTCAATGGCGCAACAACTTCCAAGTCGAACGTGAGCGTTTCATTGTGTGTGAAATTCCAAATTCTCCCAACTTAAGATTTCTCCCAAGCACTTGAATATTTGTAGGCATCAGCATTCTCGGAATGAAGCCTCTTCTCGACCGCCACCTTGCATATCTTCATGGGCGAGATCTTACAGACTGCGCTATACGTAAGATTTTCAAAGCACCACAATGTGTCATTACCGGGGGAAAATCATGGGTTTTTCATGGTTCTTCATTGCTTTCCTGAGTTCTTAAAATATGTGGACGGATCGCAGCGAAAAACACCAACAAGCAACTGCTTTGAAGCAAATTACTACGATGTACTGTCTATTGGGGAGAAAAGCTATGTTAGTCGTATATACAGGGGGGGGGCCAAAAAAAAGTCATTTTGCCTCCATGACTTTCAAGGCGCTATAAGTTACACTTTATTAAATTTTTATCGGACATTTTTACTACCATATTAAAGAGCACATTAAATACTATAACGATACTCCGCCGCAGCCTTCTGGAGGAGCGCCATCGAGAGATTCGGCCGCGCGAAAGTGAGTGGGTACCGGAGTTGAGCGAGATCGTTGATTTCTCCGCCACCGTAGACCACCCTATTGAACTCCGCCCGAACCGGGTAATTGAGGGGATACAGGTCAGGTGACCTACTTGGATATTCTACCTTCTTTAGGTATTCAGCCCCCTTCCATTCCAAGTAGGCGGGAGTTTTTCCAAAACCCTTTGATTCCATGTGGTGGCACCCAAACCTGTAGCAGCACAAGGTCTCCAAGAAGGTACGGTCACCACATGTAGGAGGATATTCTTCTCGAGTTACTTGATGTAACCGCCAGCGCTCACCTTCAGTCGGGGTCTACAAAGAAAATATCGGTCTTCCCCTTTCCAGGTACCCCGGTCCATACCATCAACTCGCGCCTCGGCGAATACGGTGAAGATGATGTCCTAGACCGTAGCGACGTTGCCGTAGCTGGTCGATGTGGGAGGTCTTGCAGGTCAAGAGTACTGACCTCCAGGTAGCTATCTGTGGATGACTTCATTCAAGAAGTTTCGCAGCTGTTTGGAGGCGACGTGAATTCCAAAGGTGTTCTCCAGTCAAAGGCCGCAGGAGATGACTTCATATTTTGGCGTACATGAAGGCGATTGGCGGCAGCTTGCTCCAGCTTATAGAGGAAGATCTTGGGTATCTTCCACTCTGGTACTCATATCCACTTCCCCTGTCTGGGCTGCGAAAACTTCGTTGATATGTGGCTCGGCCGAAATGACTTTTTTTTGCCCCCCCCCCCTGTAGCTTCTTCAGGTATTCTAGTATTCTCTATGGAAGCAGGATTCTGTGCAAACAAGACAGAAATTCCGTTGTAGTCAAAAAGAGACGACCTTACAGAGAATCCTTTTTACCTTTGCGCCATTCTCGGGGGCCGAAAATGGTGTGCGACAAGAAAATCCCCCGCGGAAAACGTACATTATAGGCATCAAGGGCACTCTTCATTGGTTTGGTAGTCAGGTCATCACTCGCAGAGAGTATACTACTTTCGCAAACGAACGTGCTGAATGAAGTAGTCCTACGTGACCTTTCACTGTTTCATCGTTTTTAGGCTACAAGATATCAGCTTAGACCACTGGTTACCGCGCGTGTTCTTATAGCCAGGGCACGCCATAGTGATGATCACAACGGGGAGTCGTATTTGACCGCGAGGGACGGAGGTCGCGTTTGGTCTGAAAAAATTTTTTTTGATGATTCTCTTGTTTCACGGACGGTAAAGGGGGGGGGGTCGTATTTGGCCGTTGTTGAGAGAGGGACTGCCAAAGATCTATACAACTACTATTTCCGATAGTTGAAAATGATAGTTAAATCCTGACGACCTCCCCTCCCCCTAGCCCCCCTCCCCGCCCCTCTCTCCGCTCGATGAAAATTCTTGGCTGAAAAACTGGAAATTTTTCGGGAAAAAATGGAAAAAGTGGTAGGAAGTTGGGAAAATCTAGGAAAGTGGTAGGTAGCATGGGGAGGGGGTCGTATTTGAGGATAGAATTAGGGGGGAGGGGTGGTCGTATTTTCCAGGAAATCGCAATGGCGTGCCCTGCTTATAGCGTCATAGCACGATCTCATGTGCTCGTCCTCTTAAATTTACCAGAAATGCAAATTCAGTGGTGCAAAAGTACGTTGTGCATTGCGTTCCGTGGTCCCAGTCTCGTAGACAGTTTCCGAGAACTACTTTCTGCTACAAATTTCGTTAACGTGCGTTTATTTCGCGTTTTTTTTGAGTATTGGATGGCATTTAGTAAAAGGAGATGAGAGAAAACGATTCGTAACGATTTTTTAAAGCGTTTTATTTCGTCCTAAACAAAGCCCTTTTGCTTTTTTTTTTCACTGGGAGGTCACTTATCGGCCAGCGGTTCATAGCTGAACA